AAAAAAAAATAAAAAAAATAAAAACTCAGGGTTACAACTAAGATTGATTGTGATATTCCTAATCATGCTAGACGGCTGCTCTCTTTTGATGAACACTAGTTTCTGGAAATGGGTTTCTGGTGTCTGGTTGTTAAGATGAATGAAGGTAACAAGTGGGGCTGCTAATCCCTTTGGTTCTATTTGTCAAGGAACAGATCATCTTAACAGGTTGGGACCGGCCTATCCTATTTTCTCTAATTTATGTGACCTTAATTTTTCCCTTTATTTCTTCTTTAGCTTGAGGGATGCAATTTATGGATCTTGGAGTGAAACAGAACTTACCCCAATTGCAAGAATTTTATATAATCTCCTAATTTGACTTGAATTTGAAGAACAGATTGATTTGGTCAGACAAGAAAAATGGAGGCTTAATTAGAGAGAATATGACATCAAGAAATGGGGTATTGGTTTGGTTTCCTGACACAAGCAGCATCTTCTGAACCAAATACCAAAAAGCATAAAGCTGATACTCTTCCTCCAACCATGAGCCTTGTTTTTCCTGCTTACTTTGTTCAATTTGTTTACCTAATCTTCATTAATCTATGGTGAGTCCCTCCTAGTCACATAATTTATATGGTTTTGAACGCTGCAGGGCTACATTATTGGGTGGTTTTTGTCTTGTTCAATCATTTTCTATTTATCTAAAATCAGTTATCAAGATGCTGGTCCAATGATTGAGACCAATTATTGTATTAAAATCCTTCCAAGTAATCCAAACATGCTATTTGATGAGAAGCTTAGGGTTTTGGTGCAACAAGCTAGATTTTGAAAGATTACGTTGGGGTTATATATATATTGGCATTTTTTGGATAAATTTTATTTTGGCACTTATGCACAATTTAGTTTATTTTACAAGGATATCGTATAATAATTATATGATATTAAATAAATGAATGCATACTGAATATCTTTGTTAAGTGAAAAAAATATAATCATTTCATCATTGTGAGATAAAATTGTTTGTCATAATCTATCTTAATAGTATTGACTTTAACCAAAAAAAGACAATAATTGCGAAGTAAGGACTGTTGCTTATATCTCGAGAGATGTGGTTTCTAATAAACACTTGAATCATTTCATCTATCTTTAGGGATTAGGTTTCTAGATTGGTACTCTTGCATCATGAGAAATGTTAAGCATAAGCAATCTTTTTGAGGTAAAGATATGGTGTCAGTCAAGACTCAGTGCGTTATTTGGAACAAGAAAGGTGGAATAGAGATCTTCAGTTGTGTCCTCTGAAAATGAATTGAAAATGGCAATGTAAGGGAATCCAATTCCGAATCCGATCTATCTGGGTTAAAGAAATGAATTCTATCATATTTTTGTGCTTTACCTACAATTTTAATGCAAACTGGAGTCCATATACTTGTAATATGAAAGGATTGATATTAAGAAAAATGTTTTTTAATGATTAGGGTAATCTTTAACTAGTTTTTGAACACCTTGCAACTAATCTTCCCCAAGCAATCTTAGAGCCCACATCGAGCTAATGCATTTATAAAACAATACTTGTTTATTAGTAAATTCAACCCATCAAGGTTGATATTACGAAGTTTGCATTGAAGTTATTATACCAAGAAAATTGTGCAACAGAGGTGCCAGGGCCGTAGATGCAAATAACAAATCTTATTTCCTTCCTCAAATCAAATAGCTTGAAGGTATAACATCACATAATTCATAGATTAACATCATAGATTAACATCAAGTATTAGCTAGAGTAGACGCGAATCTTTCTTTATTTTATCTTCTATTGTACTTATTTTAGGTGACTTGAGGTTGAAGACCAACCCCTGCTCAGAGATTAAGAGCTAACAAGGCCAGCAATGTTATTATTGCAGATGATGTAAGAAACAGACTAATCTGCCTGCAAGAAAATGAAACATCAATGCAAGGAAACGCCAAGGGGAAGATTTAGCAGAAATGATGCCATGTGATAGGAGTAGATGTTACTTTACCTTGAGGAATCCTTAGCCAAAGTTGATTCCTTGTGCCAGTGGTAACTCGTTTCCATAATTGATTGTGCTGCCAAAGACATTGGACAAAGTGCTCCATGAGAGATGTTAATGGTAGGAAGTTGAAACAATGAAAACTGAGTTTGATGGAGTGAAGACATGCAAAAGGCTGGACTCTTTAGCTTTCTCATTTCTGGAATTGTTCAAAATTAACACCTGAAAAGGGGGTTAAAGAGGCAGTGGAATTCGTAAAGAAAGTTACCAAGTTGAGCGTCGCATATACTGTTTCCAAGAGTCGCTTCCAGCTTCACGGCCACCTCCTGTAGCCTTTTCACCACCAAAAGCACCACCAATTTCGGCACCATTTGTTGGTATGTTAACATTTACAATACCACAGTCACTTCCTTGAGGCCTGCACCACATGTAATTAGGCTAGAAATACCAAAGAATTATAAAGAGGCAATTTAGAAGAGAACTTAAGGTATTTAAAAGAGAAAATCAACTTAATTTAATTAACATCAGGCAGAAACACTCACCCTATCCACTTGAAGATTACTTCAGGGTTCCGTGTAAAGATAGAACTGCTAAGTCCTTGAGGTACAGAGTTGTTTATTTCAATTGCTTCTTTCAAAGTCTGAACAATTAGTTTAATTTCCAAAAATGAGGCACTTCCATAATACTGTAAGATGAAAGATGATAAACAGTGTGCCTGTGAAAAGAAGACACTCCTGATGAGGAGGCTACCTGGAATTTCATAACAAAAAGAACAGGGGCAAACAACTCTTCTTTAACAACATCTGCATCTGGAGAAATTTCAACGATTGTGGGTTCCACAAAATTTCCATCCAATTCTATTATTGCACCGCCTGTAAGGATTTTCCCTCCCTGCAATACATCATATACTAAACAATGTCAGGAAACCAATATATATATATATGGACACACACCCACATACTTTAATTCATATTAATGACCATATAAGCTTCTGAGTGCTAGTGAAAAAAAAAAAAAAGGAAAAAAAAAAAGAGGCTTCTGTGTGACACTAAACCATCTGCAAATATGTTAAGCTCCAAGCAACAGCTTCAAAAGATTAAGGGTCACCTCCTACTACTGCTGAAAGCCAATAATTTATTGATATCTTAGCAGAAAGCTTAAAGACATAGACCAAATAAAGGACAAGAGTGAGAAAAGAATGTGCCTGTGACTTGATGGTTTCTATTCCTTTCTCATAGTTCATCCTCGATTGAGAAGTATGCAGTGGCCCGAGCAAGGTGCCTTTTTCTAACGGATCCCCTATTTTAACTTGTTTGTAGACATCAAGCAGCTGGTCAAGTACTCTTTGGTATATACTCTCATGAAGAAGCTTCAATACAAGCAAAACAAAAAGTTCAGCAATGAAAACTTTAACAGCTACATAATTACAAGTCAAATTTGCAAAAGAAATTTCACAGTATTGTAAATACCAGCCTACGGCATGTTGTGCAGCGCTGCCCAGCAGTACCAACAGCAGCAAATAACACTGATCGAACAGCTAGTTGAATGTCTGCATCATCCATCACAATTATAGCATTGTTTCCACTTAGTTCAAGCAGACATTTACCAAATCTCTCACTTACGGTTTGTTGCACCTTTAATCCCACCTGAAGTTGGGGTTTGGTACGTGAATGAAGAAGATCCTCTTTTAAAGAACCATATACCATTAAGAACATAATAAGTGATATATAATATAAGCACCTTTGAGCTCCCAGTGAATGAAACTAGAGGAATACGTGTATCTTTTGCTATTGCTTCACCAATTTCAGCACCACCACAAAATGCAGTGAAAATTGCACCTGGTAAGTTATTCTTTTCCAAAACACCAGCCACAAGCTTTGTCATTGCTATGGTAACCAAAGGAGTGGTTGGAGCTCCTTTCCTATGATTCATGACAAGGGTTTCAAGCAATGAGATTATTAGTTACAGAAGGTTAAGAATTAATCATGTTTAAAACAATAGGGGAAATAAAAAGAAATAGCAGAGCTTCTTATGTCATGAAAATATGTACAGAAAAGAAAAGCAGATATATGTATGAAATATATTTATTTAATTGTCAAAAAGCAGCAATTCCAGAAAAACAAAAAAAGCCTTAATAAAGTTAACCACTTTGTCTTTGAAACATCCAATCTATCGCTTCAGCTAAGTAAATGATCCTTCAAATCCATAGTTTTTTTCAATAAAAAAGAAGAAGTATATCTGTAAGAATTGTGTCTATCTGTGAATCAGTCATGGCACTTCCAATTTCTGTCAAGGCATAAGTGGAAATGCCAATTTTCAAATTTTGTAGTTCCTTTTGTGATCTTCTAGAAGCTTAATTTGGGATCAAATATAGTCTTCACAATTAAGATTTTAACATTTCAAGGAAAACAACCAAGAAGAGTCTTATGATCCTCAAGCAGGATTAAAGCCGTAGAATACTAGAATTTTTTTTGGCATAATGAACAAGTTCAATCCATGATATCCAAACTCAAATATATGCAAATAAATATTTCAAATAATGAAAATATAGCCAAATATTAGACTTAATACACGATCATATGTGCTAAGAAACCAGAGGCTTAAATTTAGCCATTGGAAAAGAGACTATAATTATCAACAAACATAATTACTTAGAAAATGTTCCCTAAGGGATGTCCCAATGGCTAAGAACTTGAGTCACTATCTAGGAGATCTCAAGTTTAAATCCTGGGATGGGTGGGGAGGGTTTTGGGAAGGTGGGTTATCCCCTATTGTATAGCCCATCATACGATGTACCAAAAAATAAAAATAATTACTTAGAAAATTGATAGAGACATGTAGTGTCTTTCATGCTGATTGAGATCAAGACTTACCAGACAACACAGTTGCCACAGACCAGTGCTATGCAAGCATTCCATCCTGTGGAAGAATAATACAATGCATAAATTTCTCCTCAAAGAAGTTGAAAAAAGATTTTTATGGCTGAGAATCAGAACAAATACGCTAATAGAAACTTGTTGAAACATAAATTACTATGTAATAACATGTGTGATTATGTATTATTGCAGATAGGAAGTAATACAACAATCCCAAATCTCCTATAAATGGATCATATTCTCTTCTGCAATTCATACAGATCAAGGTTGTCATCTCGTTTTGATCAACTTTGCGTACAAAATGAAGCCCGAAGCAGCAAACCAATTAAAAGAAAGGTACAAAAGCATCATTCCAGAATGATATTCCAACATTAGTTTTCGTGAAAGTGTTTAAGCTGATGAAAGTAAATGAAAGTATAAACTTACCAAGAACAGCACAAGGGAAATTAAATGCTGTAATTACACCAACTATTCCAAGAGGATTCCACATCTGTCCACAAAACATATAGACAACACATTGGAGGTATCAAACTTTATCTATCTATTAATCCAAGTTCAAACGTACGGACATGCAGCTCACCTCCAGCATCATGTGATTTGGACCTGTTAATAATACAAAAAAATCATTTTAGGTTTAACTCTTATAAGAGTAAGAAGCAAGTTCCAATATTTCCAGCAAACATTTTGCATTTAATCAGACAAGAACATGTAAAAACAGAACACATGCTATCTATAAAGAAAACTGGATAAGCTTACGTTCTGAAGGTATTACTGATCCATTCAATTGCCTGCTTAATCCCACAGCAAAATCACACATGTCAATAATTTCCTGAAAAAAATAGACTTTAAATGATAAAGGCATAGCAGGATAGACATATTGATTAACCACAATTCCAGATCCTGAAAATGATAGCATGCATGAGACAATAAATTTACAACAAATATTAACACAGCATGATAGCTGACGTTGGAAACAGTGAGGATTTACATAGATAGTGCATAAGACATGGCAGGCAAGGTACCTTCCATCATGGTTAGATATAATCCATAGAACTTTGTTAAATTGGGCTGTTAATTATCCCAAAGGACAACTTCTGAGTCCACATAAACAATGCATGTGAGAAATGCAGAAATGTAGTTAATACAAAAATGAAAACGTATGAACTCAATAAGGTGCTTGCAATTTGACAGCATTAGAATTCTAAACCATGAAATGTAAAAACTTCAAATATGCAAGTGAGACCTTTTTGAATTTGACCAGAAATAAATATTCAGAACAGTTTTAACTAAAACAGATAATGGCATGGTTGTATAACGATACACAAACCAATTTTATTGCAATTGCATATTGGGAAAATATACTTGAACTTCTCCAATTCCTTCAGGAAGAATTTTTCCCATCTCCAGTGAGACAAGGCGACCAAGCTGCTGGAGTTTGGCTCTCAGTGCATCACCTATTTGTCGAACAATCTCACCCCTTTTGGGGGCAGGAACCTGAAACAATAAAGGAATAGTTACGGGTCAAGGAAGATCACTGCTTAGCTATAACACTAATAATATTAAGCATATTCAAGGATTTGTCAAATTTCCAGTAACAATAATAAATGCATAATAACCAAAAATCCCAGAAAGATAATTCAAGTTAATTATGTCCTATACTGATCTTACTTGCATCCAAATCTTAGCTGCTTCACTGCAAGCTTGCATGCCTTCCTCATAATCTTGGATGGAAGCCTCACTAACCTCAGCAATTTTCTGTATCAATCAGAGGAGAAACCATAAACAACATAAACTCTATTTACACAGACCCACCTAAACAATTTTATCCTACCAAGAACATTTCTATCTATCTATGAATCACGAATTCGTGATCACTAGCAATACAAAAGCCCACACTTGACACATTGAGATATAAATAGCATTAGCATATGAAATGAGAACCTGGTTGTTGGCAGGATTTATTGAAGAAACCACAGGGCCATTTCCTTTCCAGGTGCCATTAACAAAACACCCCAGATTACTGGAAGTCAAGCCGATCGCATCCAGGAACTCGTACTCTTTTCTATCGAAACCCATATCTGCACTTACAAACACAAATCAGTGAATCACTCCATCACGTGAAGACAATCCAGAAAACTAAGCCATCAACGAAATTCAAACCAATTTGGGTGCTCATAAAACTGAGAAACAAGATAAAGCCAAATAGAAGAAATTACCAACTGATTGTGGGGGTTTTAAGGTGAAAAAGGTAATATTTTGATCGGAATTCTCAAGTGGGGAGAGCAGAGATAGAGGTTGGCACCTGAATGCAGTAGTAGGGGAGACAGAAACAGCAAGAATTGGGTGTTTGGATTTTATAAATGGAAGGAAAGTGAGTATGAGAGACGTGCTGGAGCTGCGCAGCAGAAATATAGGATGAGGTGAGGTTGATTGAGGGTCCATCTGTTATTATTAGGCTTTTCTAAACTATATTTTAAAGCCACGTGTTAAGGGACTTGAGGCAGTATATACAACCTTTTTTAAATATTAATTTACATAAAAAAATAAAAAATTAATATTAATTTTATTATTAATATTATGTAAATATTTTAATTAAATAATTAATAAAATTAATATTAATTTGTAATATATAAAATATATTACAATAAATAAAAATAAAGATTAATACATATGAGTTTCAACTCTAAAAAATAATTAAAGTTTTAATATATATTTATAAATTCAAATCTTCTTTTATTAAATGTTGATATCTAAATTTAAAAACCCATTATATATTTTAATATGTTAATATTTTGAATAATTTGAAATTATTTACATATATTAATTGAGGAAGGAGGAAAATGGTTCCATGAAATTCGAACACACCATTCATAGGAAGTGAATAGCTTAAATCAAGCTCCGATACTACTGGATTCGAATAGGCCGTTCTAATATGTTAATATGTAATAAGATAATTTTTAAATTTTGAATTGAATTTTAATTAAATAAAAAGACGTAGTTTAAGATTAAAATTTCAATTATTTTTTAGAATTGAAATTAATATATATTTTTTTCATAAAAATATCCTTATTATTACATAAGTATATACGTATTTATGTTTAGATATTTACATAGTATATAATATATTTAAAGGAATTAATTTTTTATTATATTAATTTTATGATTTAGATTTTATATTTAATATATACAATCATATAAATACATGTCTATTTCACACTAGATGCGACAATTGAAGTTGAATTTTTTTTTTTTTTGAACAAAATGGTAAAAGTGTGATTCAAACTTCGAACCTATCGGAAAGGGAAGATTGCACCTCCAAGATGATCCGAAAGCAAGTTGGCCCGTAAGGGCAATTGCGACAATTGAAGTTGATTTGTCCATTTGTTATTTGTATTTTACATAAAGTACTAAGTACGTCTTAATTGAGTGTTGAGGTGGAAGTCCATCTTGCAATAAAGTCTTCCGTGTAACCGTTGCCCTACGTAATAGCCTAATGT